TGTTATGTTGTAAGTGTGCAATAAAACATTTTCAAAATGTGTTTTGTTTACAGTCATCATTGTGTAACGGGCGACACTTACAGTTACGCAAACCCATGTGTCTGTTAGGTAAGGCTAGCTAGTGCAGCAGCAGCAGGGTGTGAGAGGTGCTGAGGGTCAATGGTCTCTCCATCCAGGATCCTTTTCGTTTGGCGTCACTTTGTCAACATTCGGATGGGAGATATGGCCTCCAAAGCACAGATGCCGACCCCAGAGACAGCGTTGCCCGGCCGGACTGAGAGTATGAAAGTCTCTGGTAAGAGTGGACCCGGTTAGCTTCAGCAGGCTAGCTTAAGTTAGCCCTGTGATATAACTTTACTGCATATCCGCGTTATGTAGCGAAATGAAACGAGCTATTTGCTGGTTTGTTTAATGTTACAATGGTCTGTGGGTTACTTCCCAGGTGTTTCCATCCATTCACGAAGAAAGCAGCTTCAGTTATAAGAATGTAATTAAGTTAAACAATCGCAAATTTATCCGATGCGACACCTGCTACTACCCAGTTAAAGTATGCTTTTACTGCGCATGCGCGTCCCAGTCTCTTAACAGTGGTAGAGGAAAAAACGAATATCCGCAAATGTAGAGGTCTGTAAATAATTCACTTATTTAATACCAATGTATGAATGTAAACATATTCAGCCACAGGTTAAATTTCAGCACCTAATAAGGAAACTTAAATGCGGAAGTATTAGAAGTAAAATTTAAAAAAGGAAAAATATGTGTGAGAATTTAACCTTGTGATGGAAAAATCGAGATTTTCATGTAATTATGGGCAGAAATCACAAAAGATATCTTTATATTGCTTTATAACACTTTTAGTGTATGCGGGTAAACCATGCTTATGTGCAGAGTCATGCTTCATAGGCCCATTTTGAGCCAGGAAAAAAAAGCTTGATTTATTATTACATTGTGAAGTTATTGTTTGTAAAGTAAACAATATTTAACAGTTGCAGCTTGCTGTGCCTTTACCTGGTTAATGATTAGTTAAGCATTGGTAGATAAATCTAAAGATAGATCAGACCAATAGAAAGTGAATAAAATGGAAAAAGTGTCGTAATTTTACATATTGTAAATTTATCCTCCGATTGTTTATATTTTGCAAAGAATTAGATATTTGTTTTCTCTGAATTCTGAAAAAGTTAGAGCGGAAATGCCCCACAGATATGTGAAAGATTAAACGGGATCAAAAGTACAAAGTGATTTTTAATCTGACAAGGTCCAAAGATTATAAACCACTGCTTAAACTGATAACAGCTCCTCAAATTTTAAGTACAGTACATATAAAATATGATGCTTTATTAGTGACTAACCAAACATTGCATTCAGTTTGCAGCAAAACTGCATTCTGATAGTTGCAGCAGTAGATTTTTCCAGCAGTTAAACATTATGCAATATATTTGGTTTAAGTTTGAATCCATTGTGTTATAAAACTCACCCATCCATCAATTTTTCCAACCATTTGCCCAAATTCAGTGTTGTGGATGCATTTGCCTGTTTCAGCTGTCATTTTGCAAGAGCTGGGGTACAACTTAACTTGGATAACTTGTTAGCATCAGTATAATCAATTGAATTCTCAAAATATTTTCTGATATTTGCATGTTTAAAAATGATTAAGTTAGAAATGTTGGGAATCCCTTTGATAGTTACATATTGTTGGTGAAAATGAGATTTGAGTGATTTTGAATGTGCCGATGTTGTGCAGAGTATTTCAGAAATTGCTGATCTGCTGGGATTTTCCTACATAACCGCCTGCAGAGTTTACAGAGAATGGTCAGGAAATGGCCAAACTGGGTCAAGCTGATAGTAGAGCTGGGCGATAGAACGATAACGATATGTATCGCGATATAACTTTTACTCGATAGAGAAATTAAACTATCGCGATAGACCTCGCCGCTCTTGTCCTCTTAAAAAAAAAAAAAAAAAAGGTCAGCCAATCCAAATTAAGTAGCGCAGAGCCGAACCAATCACAGCCGCAGCGTCACGTCGCGTGACTTGTTACGTACAGCACAAGTGCCAAGCCGCACATGTGTATTTGTTTGGGAAGCAGCCAGCCACCGTACCGCCCGGGTAATGGAGGAAATGAGTGCGCCGACTAGAAAAATCAACCGAGCGTGACCGAAGGTTACCGAAGAGAAAACAGATGATGGTTCCAACGCCGGAGAGATTGTCGAACGGAAGAGCCAAAGAAGTTCTGTAGTGTGAAGGTATTTCGGCTATTTCAAGTCTGACAAAAAACAGAGTAGCGTGCACTGTAAATTGTGCCGAAAGCAAGTCTGGAAATACAATAAACTGGTGCATGCGTCACACTGTGCGCCACGTTATTGTTTCGGTGAAATGAATTTCTACAATACTGTTACTGTTAATTCTACTCTCTGCAGTGTTTAAATGCTTACATATACACACAGTTACTGTCCCTCCACACATTCGACTCGGTTCTGCTTCTATGCCCCAGCTTTGTTTACTTTTTCCCACCGAGGCTTCTAGACTTCTGATTGGCCAACATTTCTGCACGGTTAGGAATCTAGCGCCACCTGCTGCTTTGGCATGTTCATAGCAGCGTTTTCCTTCATTTCTGCCTTTATGTGTGGACGGGATTATTTTTTAAAACGAAAACGGAAAATCTCCGTTTTCAAAAATACCCGTGTACGTGTGGACGTAGCCTCAGTCTCTGACTGGAAGCGCTAATTCGTCATTCGGCTTTTGTCAGACTAAAGTAACTGTTAAAACTGCTTGAAAAGCTAAGCTATACAACAAGGAGAGATTGAGAATTTCCTTTTAGTTCTCAGTTTATTTGATATTGACAAAAGTTAGTCAGTTTTGTCTGTTCTTCTGTAAAACAAACTAAGATTTATTTTTAGAATTAATATTTTGTTTCTAAGTGGAATTGACAGTTTAGTCTGTTTCGTTTGTTCTATTTTGAAACTTAAACGCTTTAGCGGCTGCCTTTTGTGTAGTTTGCAATATTTGCCTTTATTTATCTGAAAAAGTCTCATGTTCCTTAAGTACATCTACCCTGTTGAACTTATTATGGGAAATAAATATTTAAATAAAAACAAGCTGCTGATTATTTCACATTTTACTTGTGAGCAACGGCACATTTAAATCTTACAAATATAGTTATTTGGCTTATATCGTGATAGATATCGTTATCGCCTGAAATGAAAAAAACATATCGTGATATGAAAAAATCTTATATCGCCCAGCTCTAGCTGATAGTAAGCCAAGAGTAAATCAAATAACTACTAGTTACATCAAAGATATGCAGAAGAATATTCCTGTCAGGAGTGTCCAACTCCAGGCCTCAAAGGCCAGTGTCCTGGAGGTTCAGCTGTGTTGGATCAAGGACGCATCTAAAACCTACAGGACACCGGTCCTTGGGGCCTGGAGTTGGACACCCCTGATCTATGTAAACACAAGATGTTGAACCTTGAAACACAAGCGCTACAGCAACAAGATGCTAAGGCTGCAGTTAGTACAAGCTCACCAAAGTTGGACAATAGAATATTGTAAAAACGTTGGCTTGTTTGATGAGTCTCCATTTCTGCTGCAAAATGCAGATGGTAGGGTCAGAAATTGTCGTAAACTATGTGAAAGCCTTGGTCCAGGCTGTTGACGGTGGTACTGTATGATAGCGTTGTGCATACTTTTGGCCCCTTAGTACCAATTAGCTGAGTATTGTAGCTGACTGTGTCCACACCTTTATGACCACAATGTACCATCTTCCGATGCTTGTTTCCAGAAGGATAACATGCTATGCCAATTCAATAGAACACCTTTGCGATGTGGTAGAAAAGGTTGTTCATATCATGGATGTCCTGTTGACAAATCTGCAGCAACAGTGTGATGCTGTGATGTCAATATGGACCAGAATCTCTGAGGAATTTTTCCAGCACCTTGCTGAATCTTTAACATGGCGAATTAAGGCAGTTCTGAAGGAAAAGGGGGTCAAACCTGCTACTAGCAAGGTTTATCTAAGAAAACGATTTAAATAATGTATGTAGTGTATGTAAAATTCAGGTATAATTTTATAGAATTACAGCAAAATTAGATATCATGTAACAGAATGTTACATGTTCATGTATATAAAAAAAGGTGCATTTTATGTCACAATTTCCTCCGAATAATGTTGTAGAATTTTAAAACGTTTTAATATTTCATACAATAAACCATAAGACAATAATGTTGCTCAACTATACTTTGAGGATATTAAGGGGAGATATATTCCGACTAAGCATCAGATAATATCAGCTTAAATTTTATACATATTAGCACTTGCTTTTAATATTCCATACATCTGTTTATTTAGTTCCCTCTTTACAAATATATTTGCCACTCCTGCTTGTAAATGGCTCAAAGAAAACTGTGCTTATACGTGTGTGTGTGTGTGTGTGTGTGTGTGTGTGTGTGTGTGTGTGTGTGTGTGTGTGTGTGTGTTTGTGAGATAGAGAGCTTTCTGTGAGCATAAACAGACCGACAGCAGCACTAAGCTGGCAGTCAGGGCACTTGGCACCAACCTGCCCCCTCTTCACTACAAGTGAGGGCACAGAGTCTTGGCACATGATGAATAGATCTGCACTGGCACTAAACAAAAGACCTGAGATACACATATACTCACACACACAGTCAGAGACACACGCGGTCACTTCCTTTTAGTGGTAAGTGTAAAGGTTGTTGGGCGACAACAGTTTTTCGGAATATTGAGTGAGTTTTGGTTTAAGGGTTGAAGAGAAAGAAAAAGATGCGGAATCAAATATTTGACTGATTATAAATGAGTTGAATATAAATTTTTGTTTTGTTTTTTGGAGTGTGTTTAATGTTTTGGTTAGGCTGGAGGGGGTTGGACTGGGGAAGGAGGATGTGGGAGTGGAGGGGTTAGCGGGGCGGGGGTCCACAGCGAAAGGACGATCAGGATGGAGGGTAGGATGGAAAGGTTCAGACGGAGTGGCAGACATGCTGGAGCATCGCCAAGGCTCCTCGGGAACACTGCCACAATCGAGAGAGAGCCGAAGAAAGAGCGAGGGAGCAGAGAGGAAAGGAAAAAGCCATGCCTGCAGTCGAGAGACTTGGCAGGACTTCCCTTCCTTTGTCTGTCTGGCTCAGAGATGCAGCGCCAGAGGAAATCAAGAAACGTCCAGGCATGGTGGTGGTGAAGGTGGTGGTGGTGGTGGATGGGGACAAGCTTTGCATCGGCTTCAAAAAGACGGGAGAGAAAAAGTATTTTCAACGGACTGAAGCGTCTTTGAGGTCAATGGAAATCAGAAACAAACAAGCCCTTTTCTCTATTTAAACGAAATTCCGCATTGGACCAATTGGACGCGATTAGGTTTTGGAGACAAAGTGTAGCGTGACTACAATGTGCAAAAGGTCGACCTGTGATTTTAATGCTAAAAAAGTAGTTTATAAAGCATTCGTATTTCTTGGAGCGCTAAACAGCATCTGTGAACTGGACAAGGCCGGATACTGGACTTCAGAGACTCTCATAGTAGCCAGAGGAAGGCCATCTGTGTGCAGCGCAAGAGGTTTGTGTATCAATGCTTTTTGGGCTTTGAAACTTCATAGACCAATAGTAATTGTTTGGGGGAAGAGGTTTCATGCTTAAGGGAGTAGACACAAAAAGAGCAGCCAGGTATGTGTTTGATGATCAAGCTTGAGGAAACAAAGCAGGCAAAACAGGGCCAGAAGCCTAAGAAAAAGACCAAAATACCCACCAAGATCTTTTGGTTGGCTTTTGCATGGTTAACAGTGAATCCAATCAGACGTTACACAGAACTATGTATTTACAATGTTAAGTAGGACTATAACTTTATTTTTAATCATTTTAACATGTCTGACCAGGTGTGCCTAGTAGTAGGATCAGAAATAATGGGTTCAAATAAGTACTTGAATACTTATGGGACTTTGTTCAAAACTGCAATAGTGATAAAAGTCATGGAAACCTTTTTTTTTTCAAGAATACTTTAAAAAGTCAAAAGTCAAAGATGTTTGCTTTATTATGATAGAGGACTAAGAAAAGTATCAAATTGTGACATTAGTCGAGCTGGAGCCTGGGACTGTTTGGAATGTTAGCTTAAACCTTGACTGAAATAATTTATAATGATTTTTAAGTTTTCAGAAATTTCCTTTGTCGTTTTTAACTAGTGGTTTGTTTCACCTAAACTCTCAGACTTTCTAAGGTTCAGCATAAAGGGTCAGAAAAAGTGATCGTTGCAGGTATTTTCTTTAGAAAGATGGGTCTCAGTTAATACAGTTACCAATTGCAGCTATTTAAATCTGCCTAGTTTTAGATGTATATAATAATGTAAAATCTGCACATTAATCTGCATTCATCTACATACAGACTTTGAAAGGTGTGGCCCTACAGGTGTATTTCGCATTTTTTCTTTCTCCCTTAGAAAGAATGGCACCATCTGTGTTTGATTTACAAATGACAAATTTGGCAATCCCCTCGCTCTTATTTTGAAAGTTTAACTGTTCCTAACTTGCTTACCCAGTGCTTCCCGCCACGCCATGTTTCATTTCCCATCAGTTGTTTTGCTGGCTTGCTAGCTCTTGGGGCAGTCCACAGAGACAGTCTCATCCTGCAGTGTTGGAAGTTCTCCAGTTTCACCATTTTGGACTTCAGCTAGCGTTCGTCATCCAGCTGCCCAGAACTGGTTCATTTATGTGCTGCTACACCGAGCTCACAGCTGCAGTCAATGACCGTGGAAGTAGAGTTCATCCACGGAAAACTTGCCTAAGAGGCAGCTTATTATGCTGATCAGTTATTCATTTGTCGCAATGCACTTGGCAAATAAAATACTTGCAAATAAATAAAACAGTTTAATAATTTATAATTTAAGAAATCCCAATGAAAGTGCTCATTTATCAGGAAGCTCAGTTAGCAGCCATACCTGTGCATGATCAACACAGACAGAAAAACAGGGAAATTCCATTCCCCATAAACTAACTGAATGATCTGGACCCATAGAAAATAAAGCCAACATGCCAGCACCTTAAATTAGAATTTTGACATTCTAAAGCAGAACATTGCAGCAATGTGACAACCAGAGATGACAGAAATTCAAGGGTATCCTGCGACTTTGAGTGACTATGGGTAGCATAACCACTTTTAACATTATGAAGGCAGGAATCTTAGATAAACTTTTCTAAACTTCCAGGTAAGGGATTTAAATGACTTCCAATGAGAGTGAAGGGTACCTGTGATTGACATGGCCCAGTGCCTGGAAAATCCACCAGCCATCAGTTTCAAAGTGATGTGCAACGAGCAAATTGCATCCAGCATGGACACAACTTTAGATTTAGAAAGGAGGATTATCCCAGATATGCTCATTGGGCTATAACTGAGAAATTATTAGGCTGATGAGCGAATGAGAGCTGTTGGGGATACTGTCCATAGAGGCCAGAGCTGTTGGCTCCGACTGAAACAAACAACTTGTCTACATATAATAGCAACATTTAACTGTAATTGTCATAGTAGCGTGCACATTTGTGAATATTTCCAAACTTTGACCACACGTATGATTTGAAATTCTTACACGCTGAACACAACATTTATGATAAACACCAAACAATTCTTAAACATACATACATACAAGTAGAAAGGTATATGTACCTTTCTACTATAAAGGTACATATACTTTCATATAAAACATGGAAAACATTGGAGTTTTGCCTGAAGCCAAGTTTTTGGAGCCTAGATCAATAAGATCCCTCAAAAAATTTATAAATCAAAAGGAAGCCTGTACAGTTTTTATGAAGGGGGAAAATTATTCATAGAGACCAAAACATTTTTGTACCAGTCTGTAAACATGCTTTTTAATGCTGTGAAGTTATGAAGCGTTTTAATGTGGGAGTTTTAGACAGGCCCATGAGGCCGTTTGAGGAACTGCACTGTTTGGCACTGCATTGGCTTTGTTTTTTCTTTACAGCTAGTGTCTAGAGGTTAATCAATCTAGTTGATATTTGCATTTATTTTAATTAACTTTTCCTCAACTTTTTCAGTTTATCCGCTCTTTATCTGCTCTACCTTCACTAGTAACCTTAGCCCTGCAATATGTTGTCCAAAAAGCGAATCCCTACTGGGATGTTCGTGTTTGGGGTCAGAAGTCTAGAGCTAAATATTTTTTAATGGTGTTATCTGGACATTACTACTCCTACCTGACTCATCTCAGATGTCTTAGCTCCGCTCTCGCCACCTACACACAGATGGAAAATAGTAACAAAAAGACTAATGAAGAATTTAATGTCAGATTAATGCAGATGTGTTCAGACACACAGCAGCTGGTGTGTCGATGTCTTTTAATTACCAGGTGTGCTTGTAGGTGTAAATAATTATTATTGCAACTTGCTATAATAATAACTCTGACAGCAAATGTTTCCAGGGATTTTTTTTGAGTGTGATGTAGATGTCTGATGTGATATTGTGCTAATGAGGCTTTGAATAGCAGATATCACGTTTGTAAATTTGTTTCTTCACACCACTCTCTGTAAGCAGAATGCAGCCCCTCATTTGACACAAGTTAGCGTTTGCTGGCATTGTGAGTACCTGTATTTATAGTTTAGTAATGTCTTTTGTCTTTTTTATCTTTAAAACAAAAGATAGTTGAAATGTTGTAAAAATGTATCGCTGTCAGTTTTTATTGCTCATTTGCTTGTTTATTGTTGTAGGATTTTAAAAAAAAGACTTTTACTGCCCTTTTATCCAGCCTATAATTTCATTATCTGTCATAAACAGGCCATTCTGCCTCTCGTCTCTTTAAGACCCACCCCCATAAAAGCCCATTTTCTTCTGATATGCCAAGTTATGGAAGACTACTGAGGAGTTTGCGAATAGTACTCCTGCGCTCTGTGGGAATGGTATATTTGTAGAATAGACACCCATCTTCGACTTTTAACCTAGAGTTATTATGTTGTTTTATTTGTGGTTTTCCCATCCCAGCATTTTTAAAAAAGGTTCCTTATTATTTAATTATTCTTTTAGTTTTTTAGCTGCACAACACTTTGGCTAACACCTGCTGTTGGTTTATGTGCTGATATAAAAACAAATCGATTCAATTTGATTCAACTTGACTCAACTTGATATTGTAACAGATGACCATATGTAGAAATCATGAGCTGATGTCAGCTTGCTGTGAGACTAGAACTCTGTTTAGCTTTGCACACTGTTAGTTATCCGGGATTTTTTTCATGTCATATGTTTTTGGCCTTACACTGATATAAGATGCAGATATAGATGTAGCTAAGAAGATGCCTCTTACAGTAACCATCTCCATTAAAATTTTGTTTGTGGATCACCACGGCAGCTTATGTTTACGAATAAATCTTCTTCTTTCGGCTGTTTATTCTGGGGTTGCCACAGCAGCACATCTGCCTCTGTCTCACCCTGTCCCTAGCATCCTCCTCCGTCACACCAACACACTGCACGTCTTCTTTCACTACATCAGTGAACCTCCCTCGAGGTCTTCCTCTTTTCTCCTGCCTGACAACTCCATGTTCAGCATCCTTGTCCAACGTATCCACTATCCCTCCTCTGCACATGTCCAAACCATCTCAGCCTTGCCTCTCTAACTTTGTCTCTAAACTGCTCAACCTGAGCTGTCCCTCATTCCCATCCTAGCCATCCCCAAAACATCCCCTTTTGTGCAGTAGACACACCAATCTTTTATCAGTAAATGAAGATATACTAAAGCTTTAACCCAGCCTGTACTTACAGTAGTGTAGGAATAGTTTTAGTATTAAATAAAATAACTTTTTATAAGATAAAATATGTATGCACTACATCATCAGCATCCATCCATCTTATTTTGTTTATCCAATTCAGGCTTGTGTCAGGCTATATCTGTATATCATAAATGTATTGATTTAAATCAAGCTTTTTTACATCTTGTAGTAAAAAGTATAATTTAAAGCCTACATGTTAAAGTATTATTGCTCTAACCAGCAGTCAAAATTCTCCAAAGCATGTACTTAAAGCATGTATGAATGCAAAGAACCATTACTATGACATAAAGATGTCTGGAAAACACTAAGCACTCCACCAGTGCAAAGTGCTTCAAGTTTCCCTGCACCATACACTGTCTCTAGACTAATGGCTCTGAGCGATCGATCGAGTCGAACCGTCAGGAAGGTGCACACGCGCATATATGAGCCCTGTGGAGGCTTATTAACCCACACCCCCGCTCTAACTACACTCATAGCTGTCAATCCACTGATTCAGAGGCTAGAAGAAGAAGAAGATTAGTGCAAAACAGAAAACAGACCTTCAGGTGTAGAAATTGTTTTGCTGGGGCTGATTGAGTTGTGTGTTTGGCATACACCACATACATTTAATTTTGTGCAATTAACAGCATTAAACTCTTTTTTTTTTACAATTACGTTACCACTTTTGATCCATATATGTAAAGATGGACATGCTTGTTTTGTCCTACAGTGACAGATGTGAAGTTTTAACTGTTTTTGAACCTCGAATAGAGAAACTTCCGATGACCATTTCTAGTTTATGGTGTTGCAATTAAAGAAA